CCAGACCCCTCCCGAGATCAGGGCCCCGTCGTGCCGGGCGCTGCCCAAACAGGGACTGAAACTCTGTCTCTGTGACTTGGGCACGCCTGCCCCCACGAGGAGTACGAAGGAGCAGGGTTCAGGGGACCTGTCCGTGCCTAGGAGGAGACGAGGTGACAGGCTTGGGGGAAGCATGCGGGGTGGGTTTTGTTTTCTCCCTTCCCCATGCTGGAGACGAGAGGCTGGGCCAGATGGAGCATCGGCCCCACCCAGGCAAGAGCCGTGCAAGGAAACGGGGGAGCCCCCCCTGCCACCTGGGGGTGTATTCGGCAGCGTTGGGGGCGAGGAGGTAGCACTGGCCCTGCTGAACACACGGCCGGTGGGCGGCACCCATCTCCCAAGTCCCAGCCCCAGCCCTGTGCCTTCGCCCCCAGCCCAGCCTCGGCGTCCCGGGATGGGGCCAGGGCCCTGCTGTATGCAATGCAGACTCGGTGTGAGCCGCGGAGCAGATCTCCGGGAGGGATGCTCTGGGGAGAAGGGACGGGGGGAGGGGGAGTTGTCCTGTGGGAGGGGCTTGGTGGGGATTGTGGGAGGGTGCTTTCTCCTGTCCCCTCTCTCCATTCGGATCCCATTAACCCCGCCGCCCGGCCTTTCCCAGCCTGTGCCTGGCTGGGAGGGATTTTAACAGGAGCTTCTCCAATATCCCCATGTCCCGGCCAGGGGCTGAGGGCTGGTCTTGGTGCCGTCCTGCCCAGCGCATCTGTTCCTCCAGCTGTCCCGTGCAGGCCGGGCTAAGCCTTCTCCCAGCCAGAAATCCCATCTCCAGAGCAGCTGGAGAAAGCCCTGAGCCCCTGCGCCTGGAGAGGACAGTGGGGATGGGCCCCTGCAAACACGGGACAAAGACCGTCAGGATCAAACGTGGCTGCGTCCTCGTGCCGGGCCCTCAAAGCCCTTTGCTACTAGCAAACGGATCCCAGCTTTGGCTTGCCAATCTCACTGCAAATCCAGGGCCTGGGCATCCCGTGCTCTAACCACTTGGCTACGCTCCCTTTTAGCTGCCCCAGACCAGCCTGTTTGCAAGACGAGGGGTAGCCACAGGAACCGGCGACCCGGGAGCTGCAGGCAGCCGCAGAAGCCACTTTTTGTGCTGCGACTAGGCCCCAGGGCCTGTCTTCCCCACACCAGGGGTTTGCAGCCAGTGCCTGGTGTGCAGCCAAGATGGGGGAGTTCCAAGGGATTCAGAGACGCAGGGCAGAGATGTGGGAGCCAAGAACTCCTGGAGCGTAACCCCGGCTCTGACACTGCTCCCCGTGGCACCTCGACCAAGTCACTCTGCTGCGCCGTGCCTCAGTTTCCCCAGAGCTAATAGTCCTGAGCACTTTGTGAGGATTCCCTAGTTAAAGGCTGAGCTACACCGCGGGGTCTTGGGAAGGTAGGAGAACCTAGCTGGTGCATGTCCGGCTTTCATCCGCCGAGGAAGGGCGTGCAGCAGGTAAACGCAGCCAGCCCGCCCTGCAGGGAGCGGTGTCACTGCCCCAGCCGCGTCACCAATAGCTGGGTCACGGCCGTGGCGAGTTTGAAAAATTAGAAAAAAAAAAAAAAATTAGTTTTGGGTCAGAACAAAAATGAAAGTTTTGGGCGACGTGAAAAGCGGAACAAAGGCCGGTTTCTCGGCAACCGAAACGTCCTGGATCAACCAACCCCAGCCGCTTCCCTTTGACTGCGACCCTTTTGGAAGGTCGGCGCCGTTCGAAATAACGACCTCCACGGAGACTTGGAAAGGAGAAGTCGTTCCAAAGCAAAACAGCAACCTGTTTAGAGCGCTTCCGGTGCAGGGGGGTTGGAAGGCGGGGGGGGGGGGGACATTTTCCACATGGAGAATTCTGCAAAACCGGTCTGAAGTTGTGCCGCGTCCTGCAGTAAGCGCAACGGGCTGAGACCGGGTGTCACTGCTCCGCCTGACGAGCGTTCCTCTCCCGTGCCCGCTTGGTAGCCCATGCGAAGGGGAATTGGTGCCGGCACCGATTGGGCCCTTGGCTGGCAAGTTCCCATCCCCGGCTAGAGATCTGCCCCGCTGAGCCAGGGCAGCACAGCATTCTGGGGGAAGCGTGTCCAGTGCTGTCTGTCCAGTACCTGCTCCGAGGCCCTGCCAGGTACCCAGGAGCGGCGTTGGCCCAGTGCCCCAGGTGCTGCCTGATCTCAGCCCGGCTCCGCGCATGGCGGGCGAGGCTGGGGCAGGGGGGAGGGGAAGGCGAGTATGCTGACTCGGCAATGCGGCGGGCAAGGCTGGCATGGGAGCTGGAGTACACAACACTCTCCTGTCTGTGGCCGTCCCTCCCCGGGGGCTGCTTTTTCCTGTCTGCTGGACAGCACAAAGGGGTTACTGTTGGGCTATAAATACATCGGCACATGGACCGGCCTGACTTCCTGCCAAGATCAGCAGCCTCTGTGCGGCCCTGGAAAGCCCAGGCCACGTGGCCTGCATTCCCCCAGCCCCCAGGCGACAGGCGCCCTGACGCGGGAACCCCCTGTACTGCAGGGGTCCCCCCACAAAGGCGGGGATCCCCCTGTGACCGAGCTCCAGCCGTGTCGGAGGGGGAACCCCAGAGCAGACACAGCCCCCCAGTCCATCAAAGCAGAAGAAAGGGGGAGCCATACTGAGCTACACGTGCTGAGGAAAAGGAGAGAAAGGGGAACTAAGAGCCCCGGTGGTCATGAACCCCACGCTCCAGCTAGCTCTGCGGCCCAGCTGTGCACCTCTGGAGGGGGTCCCATGGGCAGGGCTCTTTCACCAAGGTAGGCAGGCTGGTCCAAGGGCGTGCCAGGCACACAGCCGGTGGCATCCCTCCGTTCTCCCCTTCCCACTCCACTTGAACTCAGTCGCACCTGTGCCGTGCGAGAGCCTCATCCTCTGCAGCCGCCTCATAGGCCGCTCCTTCACTGCCCCGCTCTGTGCCTCAGTTTCCCCGGCAGCCTGCCTAGGGCTCATCTACCCAGGGAATTTCACCAGCATCGTTACACAGCTGTAAGCCCCCACGTAGATAGTCCTACTGCAGGGATAACAGAGCCTTCTCCCGGGTCAGCGTCTGTCGTATCAAAAGCCAGAACAAGGCCCTGTAACTCCAGGACACGTGTTCCCAAGGCAGAACCTGAGCAGTATAACTTTGCCGGTAAAATTCCCCATGGAGACCAGCCCTCAGACGGTGAGCTCTGGGGGGCAGTGTGTGGGCAGTGCCCGGACGGATGGGGCCCTGAGCTCAGCTGGGGGCTTCCATGCCCTCTATCGAATACACCTTGGTCTTCACCCGGGCTTCCCAGTCACCCTCTGCCCCAGCTGGGTCTGGATTTTCCACACCGTCTTCTCTGCCTAGGGGAAATGTCTTGGGAAGATGCTACACAAAGTAGACTTGTATTATGGGGGTGGGGTGTCCTGGTGGGTACTGTGTGATGTGTGTATTGTGTATGGATGTGCCCTGTTATGTACTGTGTCTACTCGTCTGTGTGACGTGTAGCGTCCTGTGTGGGGGGGTGTCCTGTTGGGGACATAAGAACGGCCAGACTGGGCCAGACCAATGGTCCATCTAGCTCAGGATCCTGTCTTCTGACAGCGCCGGTGCTACAGAGGGAATGAAGAGAATCGAGTGATTCCCTGTTGTCAGGTCCCAGCTTCTGGCAGTTGGAGATTTAAGGACACCCAGGGCATGGGGCTGCATCCCTGCCCATCTTGGCTAATAGCCATTGTTGGACCTATCCTCCAGGGACTTATCTAGTTCTTTTTTGAACCCAGTTGTACATTTGACTTCAGGACATCCCCTAGAAACAAGTTCCACAGGTTGGCTGTGCGTTGTGTGAAGAAATACTTCCTTTGATTTGTTTTAAACCTGCTGCCGATTAATTTCACGGGGTGACCTCTGGTTCTTGTGTTATGAGTAGGAGTAAATAACACTTCCCTATTCACTTTCTCCACATCAGTCATGATCTTATCGACCTCTATCATATCCCCCCTTAGTCGTCTCTTTTCCAAGCTGAACAGTCCCAGTCTTATTAATCTCTCCTCATACGGCAGCCGTTCCATACCCCTCATCATTTTTGTTGCCCTTTTCTGAACCTTTTCCAATTCCAATATATCTTTTTTGAGACGGGGCGACCACATCTGCACACAGTATTCAAGATGTGGGCGTACCATGGATTTATATAGAGCAGGGCCGGCTCCAAGTTTTTTGCCGCCCGAAGCAAAAAAATTTTCCCGTGCCCCCCCGGCCCCGCCCCAGCTCCGCCCCCTTCCAACCCCTTCCCCAAATCCCCAGCCCCGCCTCCTCCCCCGGGCGCGCCACATTTCCCCTCCTACCCCTCCCTCCCAGGCTTGATTAAAGGTCTAGAAAACATGACCTATGAGGCAAGACTGAAAACATTGGGTTTGTTTAGTTTGGAGAAGAGAAGACTGAGGGGGGACATGATAGCAGTTTTCCAGTACATAAAACGTTGTTACAAGGAGGAAGGACAAAATTTGTTCTCTTTAACCTCTGAGGATAGGACAAGAAGCAATGGGCTTAAATTGCAGCAAGGGGGTTTTAGGTTGGACATTAGGAAAAACTTCCTAGCTGTCAGGATGGTTAAACACTGGAATAAATTGCCTAGGGAGGTTGTGGAATCTCCATCATTGGGGATTTTTAAGAGCAGGTTAGACAAACACCTGTCAGGGATGGTCTAGACCAGTGTTTCCCAAACTTGGGACGCCGCTTGTGTAGGGAAAGCCCATGGTGGGCCGAGCCGGTTTGTTTACCTGCCCCCTCCGCTGGTCTGGCCGATCGCAGCTCCCACTGGCCGCAGTTCGCTGCTCCAGGCCAATGGGAGCTGCTGGAAGCGGCGGCCAGTACGACCCT